ACTAAACAACTACTACTAACTACTAACTACTAACTACTAACTACTAACTACTACAACTACTACTACTACTACTACTACTACTACTACTACTACTACTACTACTACTACTACTACTACTACTACTACTACTACTACTACTACTACTACTACTACTACTAGTACTACTACTACTACTACTACTACTACCACTGTTCCTTACTGATCGTGTCTCCCTGTTGCACCCCAAGGCCAGTTTCTAGGGCAGGCGGGGTGTTTAGCCTGAGAGCTCGTCACCATTTATAACCCTGAAGCTTCAACAGTGGCAACCATTTCAGAGATGGACAGCGGGCCGTTTCCAGAATGTGACTATCGCCTGAGCGCCGCCCACATTCTGTGTACAAATAACAAGAGTTTCGCGCATTGAAAGCGGGTGGTTTTCAACATGTGGCTCTCGCTTCGGCGCCGCGCACACTCGCTTTAAACATTTGCAAGAGTTTGACGGATTGAGGGCGAGCCGTTTTCAAAATGTGGTTTTCGCGCCAGCGCCGCGCACATCCAATGAAAAACGTGCAAGAGCTTCACGGATTGAGGGCGGTTCCTTTTGTAAAATGTCGCTGTCGCATTAGCGCCGCGCACACTCGTTTTTTTATGCAAGAGCTTCACGAATTGAGGAAGGATGACTCTCAAAATGTTGCGCCGCGCGTGTTCGTTTGAAAAATGCGAAGGCCTCATCTTCATCCTCCTCCTCGTCCTCCTCCTCCTCCTCCTCCTCCTCCTCCAACTCCTCCTCCTCCTCCTCCAACTCCTCCTCCTCCTCCTCCCTCCTCCTCCTCCTCCTCCTCCTCCTCCTCTTTTTCCTCCTCTTCCTTCTCCTCCTCTCCTCCTCCTCCTCCTCGCCTCCTCCTCTCTCCTCCTCTCCTCCTCCTCCTCCTCCTCCTCCTTCCTCCTCCTTATCTCCTCCTCCTCCTCTTTCTCGTTCTCCTCCTCCTCCCCTCCTCCTCTTTCTCGTTTTCCTCCTCCTCCTTCTCCTCCTCCTCCTCTCCTCTTCCTCTCCTCCTCCTCCATCCTCTCCTCCTCCTCCTCTCCTCCTCCTCCTCCTCTCCACCCATCCTCATTCCTCCTCCTCCTCCTCCTCCTCCTTCTCCTCCTCCTCCTCCTCCTCTTTCTCGTTCTCCTCCTCGTCCTTCCTTTTCCTTTTCCTCCTCCTCCTCCTCCTCCTCCTCCTCCTCCTCCTCCTCCTCCCTCGGAAGCCCGCGGCCGCCGCGGCGACGGCGGGCCTCTCCATCCTCATCCGCCCATCCAACCACGTCGCTATCGTCAGCTGAATCAGCGGTTGCATCACCATCACCATTGTCATCATCCTCGCCATCACTCCAATTATCTGTATCCCCCTTCCCTCCCATCCGTCCGCCTCATGGTCAGCGGCGGCACCACTAACACCAACACCACCACCATCACCACCACCATCATCATAAACATTATCAGCAGCAGCAGCATCGTCGCCGCTATCAGCATACTGGTGCATCGCGGTCCGCTCGAACACCTGCGCCGCCGGCACCTACAACAATTCAAAGTTCCTCCGGTCTGCCGGCCGCAGCCCCTAACCCAGACCGAAGGGGAAACGAGCATCTGCTGCCCTCGCCCAGCCGCCTATGCGTTGCTGGGCCACGAAAAGAAATACTCGAAGCGGCGCCCGCACAGAGGTAGCCCGGCGCAGGTCCATCATATTCGGAGGACAACGACGAGGACGCGCGCACAGAGAGGGGGGGTTGTGGGGGAGACGGCGAATCGACAGGGGGGAGGCAAGAAACTCAGGGCCCGTGTCGGTTCTGCGCGAGGCGGCGGCGACACCGCTCCCTAAGCCCTGCGGCAGCGCCCGCATGGCCGGTGAAACTAGAGAGGGGCAGGAGGAGGAGGAGGAGGAGGAGGAGAAGCAAACACAAAACAGAAGTGGGTGCGCACGGAAGGGAGAAAGGATTAAACGAAGCAGCAGGAGCAGCAGGAAGCCAGCAGCCGAGCGGGGGGCGGACGGGGGGTCGTCGGCGTCGGTACCAGGACAGCGCGGCGTCGGTACCAGGACAGCGCCGTCGCGGTCGGCGGGCGCTCGTCTACGTCTAGTCAGGGCGCGGGGGGGCAGAGGGGGGATCGGCGGGGCGGGGGACGGTCATCAGGCGGTCGGTTCACGTAACATCTGCTGCGCACGCCGCCGTCGCCGCGGCCGGCCTGACTGCCGGCGCGCCGCGCGGCGCCTGGAGCTTGCGCCTCTTTTTGAAGGAGAAACGAAAATCGACGGGCGTGCTCCGCCGCCACGGGGGCAGGGCCCTCCCCCGCGGCGTCCGCCGCACGCTCTGCCAGGGCGGCCGCGGCGCGGCGCGCCTCCTTGCCGCAGGCGCTGCCGTGCGCACCCATCACCATCGGGGTGGAGGTGGTGCTGGCGGCGCTGCAGCTTCGCCCCGCGTCGAGGAACTGCCTCGCGCTCCGCGGCCGCCCTGGGCGCGGCGGTCGGGGCAGCCAGCATGTCGCCCCGCGCCTTGAAGTGGCCGCGAAATCTAAGTCCGCCGGGACGCCGTTCCGCCAGCGCGGGACGTAGACGTCCGCTGGGCGACGGCCGCCTGCGTCGAGTCCGCCGCCGCCCTCCTCCGCCCCGGGCGGGCTCTCCCCCTGCGCGCGGGGTTCTAGCAGGCCCGGCCGCTCGAGCTCGGCGCCCAGGAAGCAAGCCGGCGGCCTGCGCGGCGAAGGCGGTTTGGTCGCGGAGGGCGCCGCGCCGCCTCGCGCGGCCCCCACGGCAGGGGCACGCCTGCACGCGGTCGCCGCGGACGTCCAAGATGCCGCCCCATCGCAAGTGGGGCAGGAGGCCCTCCCGGCCCGCCAGCTGCACCCGCGGGCCCCTCTGCAGGGCGACCTGCATCAAGCCGCGCGGGAAGGCAGTGCCGACCGCAGCGCATGGCCGCGCCTGTAGCGAGCCGCCGGCACCAGGCGCGCCCGCCAGCGAAAGGCATGCTTCGGTGGCCAGACACGCTCGCCACTTATGACTCAGCCCTGGCGGCGGCGCCCAGCTTGTCGGAGAGCCAGCGTTGGTTGCTGCGCTGGCAAACGCCGATGGCATTCTGGTCCGCCCGCGGGAGCTGGGCGCTGTAGGACAGCACGGCGGCCCCCGCCCAGCGCGCCGCCGCCGCCCGCGTCGTCGTCGGAGTGGCCGGCCCAGATCTGCCTGCAGAGCGCAAAGGCCGCGCGGGGGGCCAGGCGAGCGGCTGGCGCGCGTCGCCCCGCCGCGCGCGGCCCCGGGCCGCCTGCCTCGCGGGGGCGCCTGGGCCCAAGAGTCGCCCTCAGAAAAATCGCTACTGAGTTGCTCGAAGCAGGCCCGCGCTCCGGCGACCGAAGCAAGCAGGGCCTCCGCTCGCACCGCGGACGGGGGCCCACGATGAGTGACCGAGCCTGCAGTTGCAGGAACACTACCGCAGCAAGCGAGGCGCGGCCTGGCAGGTTCCCAGCGCGCCCAATGCATCGAGGAGACTGTTCGCCTCGTCGATTCGCTCACGGGCGCGCGCTCGGCAGGAGGCGTCGCTGCCAATTGGCGCCCAGGAGTTCGAAGCAGCCGTCTGCGCGCTGGCGGGGGCCAGGGGGGGCGGCGCTCAGGCCCACTTCGTCGTCGCCGCCGCCCGCGGGAACAACCTCGCACACCCCCGGCCCCGCGCTCAGGCGGAGGCCCATGGCTGCCAGCTCGCCCACTGGCATGTGGATGAGGCGCGCCACTGCTTGCCAGTCGCCAGCCAAGGCGCCGCCGTCGAGATGACTAAGTCCGCGGCACCCTCAGCGGCGGGGGGCGGGCAGGCGCGCCCGGGGGCGCGCGGCCCCTGGCGAGGACGCTGGCGAGGCCCAGCAGCTGCTGCAGCACCTCGCCGTTGGCGGCCGTCAGCGTCCTTGAGGCGTTGCGGGCGCAAGCCAAAGGGGCCTGGGGCCGACCCCCGAGGGGAGGCCCGCGCCTCGTGCTCGACCGAGGCAGCGTCCAGCTGGGGCGCGGCTGCCGCGTGGACTGCGGGGAGGCTGGCAGTATCCCTAGGTCGTCGGCAGCGCGGGTGCTTCTGCCGCATCTGATCCAGCAGCGCTGCGGTAACCTCCGCCAGGGGCTCGTCGGCGAGGGGCGAGCAGCTCTTGGAGTACTACGCGTCCTCCGCGAGCTCCAGGCAGCGCTGCGAGTTCAGGGCCGCGCAGGAAGGCTTCGCGCTGCCCCGCTGCTCCGCGGTTCCTGCCCAAAGCGAAGCGCTTTCCCCCTCCAGCCAGCGCCGGCAAAGGTCCTTTGTCAGAGCCTCCGCCGCGTTGCTGCTGCCGCGGCCTCCACGCGCGCGCGGGCGGATGACGCACTTTGGTAGCATTGCGAACTGGAGCCAAGCTTCCTCTATCTTCTGGTGCACGGCGAGCGCCGCAGCCTGAGCCAAACAGCGCGCCCGTGTGTCCCGCGCCCCCTCGGGCACGCGGTGTTTTGTGCTCGCTCGTCTGGGGAAGACCTCTTGCCAGGTGGGCAGGTTGCGCGGCTGGGAGGCGTTGTCGTCAGCGGCCAGCGCCGCGTCAGCAGCCGCAGCTCGCGCACCTGGGCGGCACCTCGGGCACACGCGCCCGTAGCGCGTGTGGAGGACAGGCTGGAACACCGAGCATTGCGACAAACTGTGTTCGTCCAAGCCTGCAGGACGGGCGGGAGGCCTGGAACCTACCAGCACCGTATTCGTTGAGGTGTTGTCGCATGGCTGCGTGGTCTGCCCATCCAGGGCTGGCGGCCAAGTCGGCGCGGGGGCACCCAAGGACAGGGCAGCCCAGTCGGGCACGCCGGGCGCGGCCTTGTGAGCGCGCGGCAGCGCCGTCAGCCGGCGCAGGCAGTGGCGGGATCTGCGCGTCCAAGGCTGCTGCGTCCGCCGGCGGCGGCGGCGGGCAGACCGTGCACCGATGGTGGAGCTTCTACGGGCTGCAGCCCAGGGACAGCAGCGACCGTTGTTGCTGGTGGGACCGCTGCAGAGCTGCGGATCTCTGGCAAGGGGACGCAGGCGTCAACATTCATATTCCTGCTCGGGGTCGATGCGCAGCTCCCCCATCCCCACGTCCAGGAGGGGTACAAGGTCAGAATCGTCCCCCCCGGTGCGATTCCGCCTGAATCGGCGCCCAGGTGAATCTCCAGCAGAACTCATCTCGGCGAACGTATTGCGGACGCCGACCTCTTGACGTGAAAGCTGCGCCGCCTCCGCTGGTGGCCCAGATGAGGGAGGGCTCGCGGATGCTGCCGGTGGCTGCGGCGACGCCTGCTGCGGAGGAGAATGGCTGCGGCCCCTGCTGCCGAGGGCGCTGGCAGAGGAAAGTCCTGGCCGATGATCCCATCCTCCACGACGGCAGGTGCAGCGCGTGCACTCGTAGTGGCACGCGCCGCACACGTCCGAGTCGAAGCCCGCGGGAAAAGCGGGCGACAGCATAGCCCGTATTAGCAAAGCGGCGCGCCCTGCCCAAGCCGCCGGAGACGAAAACCATGTGGAGTACCACCCTGGACTCAGCGCAATGGTGGCTACCACCGTGATGGATGTACAAATCGGCTACGAGAAATGCACCTCCACAAATAGAGCGGCGCCGTACATTCCATCCAGGGCACGCTGAAGAGGCCCTCCGTGCAGAGCCGCCCTAACCACGAGGACCTCCGAGGGCGCCGAAGGCACGCAGGACGCCGCCATCACCAGGACCAAATGGATGGCGCAGGGAATCGGCCGGCCCAGGACGGCGTGGATGTATTCGACCAGGCACGCACTGGCGAACATCGAAGGGGCCCAGCCGATAGCGTCGACGAGCAGGCCAGGCAGGGGGCGCGCGCAGAAGTAGGCCAAGTCGAGCGTGACGGACATCGCCGGCCAGAACATGCGGAGGAGCTCGGTCAGCGGGGCCGCGACTGCTGCTGGCGC